CTTCTTTTAAGCATGCTGGACAAATGCAGACCTGATAAAGGCTAGATGTGAATCGGTTCAATGTAAAGAACTGATTGTCTTGCCTGGTGATCTAAAAATTTAAAGACCATTTACTTAATGGCAGGAAAAAAATGCCCCCTTCCAGATTTTCAAGTGTTCAAACCACAGTCTTGTTTAGGTGGATTTTTTTTTTGGATGAGTTTTAACATTTATATATATATATATATATATATATATATATATATATATATATATAACCATAATCTTTCTTTTTAAAATGTTTCTTTTCTTTCACCTGAGAAAGTACATGGTGGTTAAGAGTTTTGGAATTAGCTTGTTTCAAATCCCTGCTCTTCCACTTCTCCTAACCTCTCAGTGATGTAGTTTCTACAACTATAAAATAAGGATAAAGTAATACTTTATCACTAACAGTACTTATGTCATAAGGTTCCTATATGCATTAATAGGATAAAGATGATTGCTCAATAAATGACAACATGTCTTCAGAGCAACAGAAGTAGACATTGTAGAGTTTCTTATGGTACCCCAAAATGCAAATTTCATATCATTTTTTAATGATTTTCTTCTTTTACTTTACTGATCTCCTCTAACCAAAAATGTTATGATACAGAAGTCAATTACCCACTTTTTCCCTCCTTTATATAAATCAAGGTAGTCAATATTCTAAAGTTTTGTTAGACATAGCTTAAGAAAACTATTCTATGAACTTAAAGATTTAAATATTTCGAACTGCTTTTGGTTTTAAAAATACAAGGTATCTAGTTATTTATATAGTTGCTAAATATAGAATGTACACACAGACATCGGTTTTCAGAAATCTACTTTTCAGATTTGCTTTTTATAATGTATATGGTCAGAGGGTGTGGTTAGACATGGCTGCTCTCTCTGTTCCCACTCCACCTCTTCCTAATAGTTTAAAACTAGTTTAATTCTGGATCTATTTCCACTACACTTCTCTTGACTTCTGCTTCTGTTTCACTTTTTTTTCCCTTCCTTATTACCAAATTTCTTAATTTATTCTCACAGACTATCTTAGATCTAATTTTAAGTTGAATAACAACTTTGATTCTATTCTTCTATAAGAAACCAAGCCTGCCAAGGCTGTTATAAAGAAGTAAACATTCTTAAAAGGTCCAGAAATCAACATGAGCATTACCTTAGTATCTTTTACCAACACAAATGACACAAGAAGACTCAACTATTTATGATCTTCACCAACAAGCTGCGATTCTACATTTCTTCCTCATCCCATCCCCGGTACCAGCATTTTTAATTTTAGATATCTGCTCAACGTCAAATAAACAAACAACCGTCACTGTAGGTTTGAAATATCATTTTGTAACAGCTTAACTCACACAAGAATATTTCATTTGTCAAAGGGAAAACTTCAGGTAAACTTTCTGTTCTAGATTTTAACCATAAGTATCTTACGTGTTAGAGAGCTCATCACCAAGAAATAAGGATATCTTAAAAGATGTCACAGTTTTCAGGTAAGTATATTTAAATGCCAAAAAGTTTATTTAAAAAAAACTAATAAGAGGGGCAGCCCTGGTGGCTCGGCGGTTTAGCGCCACCTTCGGCCCAGGGCGTGACCCTGGAGACCTGGGATCAAGTCCTATGTCAGGCTCCCTGCATGAAGCCTGCTTCTCCCTCTGCCTCTGTCTCTGCCTCTCTCTGTGTTTCTCATGAATAAATAAATTAATAAATCAAAATAAATAAATAAACAAACAAACAAACTAATAAGAAATTGTCAGACTCACCAACAAATCTTGTGCAGAGGTCTTGGATGACGAAAGACCAGAAACCCAGATGAGTGGCTCTGCATAGTGAAACTTATCTAAAAAGCATCCCTCTTCCCAAGAGAAAAAGATCCCCCACGCACACATCAAAAGAAAAAAAAGGAAGGAGGAAGAAAGATAGCACTGCATATTTTTGCTTTATGTGAAATTGAGATCTCATCCTAAATTTGAACTGAAGGTCAATTACTTTTTCTCCTTAAAATCGGGTTTTAGAAAATGGAGTTGAGAAGAGGAAGTCAACCAGGGAAGAATGTTTAGAATCAGTCCCTGAGAGATTGCACAGATTCTTTTTCTTCAGTGCTACCCCAACGGCTCCACTCACCAAAAGTCTAGCTATCCACAGAAAAGAACACGCAGATATATAAACTCACTAGGGACGTTTACCTTAAAAAATGAATTTCTGAGTACTCATTTTTTTCCAAAATCTGTTTTCTAAAATAAAAACAGTTGTGGCATTTGATTGATAAATAAAAGGCTACAGAAAGCAAACTCAAACAGAATATTTGATGTTAAGTATGACAGCAACACATCAAAATGGTTTTTAGTCTTTTTTGAAGAAAACTATAAAACGTTGTTAGGTTGGCATCCAAGTTAAAAAAAAAAAAAAGAAGAAAAAGAAAGAAAAAAAAAGAACTGACAACCAATAGATACTTTTACAGGTTAAATCTTGTTGAAGGCACCTTGCCCCTCAGTACACTTTGATTTATTTAAGCTCACCGCATTTCTCTTAAATACACTCCATTAACAAGTGATAGACTGTGATCTTAGGCTTGAGGCAAGATATGAAACACAATCTTTCAAGAACTTCATTCATTCCCTGCCCAGGTGTCTTGAGCACACCCAACTCTAGTCACTTATCTGAGTTCTGTGAAGTTTTATTCAAATCAATAGTGTGGCTTTAGAACAGCACACTGTCAGGAAATCACCCCAGCAGCCCAGCAATTTGGCCTCCCAAATCCTAGTCCTAGTCCTAGTCCAAGTGATAGCAGGAGTGAAAGTCATCAGAGGAATGAAAAAGAGCTTCAGGTTAAAGAGGAGAAAGCACTTCCCAAAGATGCCTCTGACCTGCAACCTGGTGAAAGAAGCAGACAGACACTCCTGTGGGGAAAATTCAGGCTTATTAAACGTCATCTGTGACTTAAATGGAAAACTAAATTAGAAACAGCAAAGCCTGACATCAGTTAAGCTTTAAGATTAGAAATGCTTCCTATCTGTTTAAATTACAAACCTCAGATACTAATTAATCAAATTATTAAATCTGAAAGGATGGTACACACACCCCCACACCCGCAGCCCCCCGATATTTCCCCAAGACAGAATTTGCACACTGACGCGACCAGCCTTCAGTGATACCCTATTAGTGTGACCCTATCTTTAATCTACAGACGTGATAAAACGTCCCAACATACACAAACTCAGCTCAAACAGTGACTAAAGATCATTAATCCCTCTATCTTCAGGAATCTGCCCCTCCAGTCATTTATCACACTGACACTTCACTTTACACACGTGAATAAACTTTAACTGAGAAGGTGAATCAACAAAAATCTCAAAGGTATCTGAAGCTGTAAATTAAACTAGGGGGAGACACAGCAAAGAGAGACAAATAGAGAGATCAGGTCCTAATGTTTTTGATTTGCATCCACGGCTGGCCGTGGGGGTGGGGAACCTATTCAGTCCTTCAGATCTGCAAACTAAGGGGAAAAAATTCAAAAAAAAAAAAAAAAACAAAACTACATTACAGAAAAGGGAAGCTGGAAGTAAGGAGAGGCAATCCCTAAGAGTGGGTTTAATCTATTCATCTATTCACTGTGAAATATATAAAAACTTCAGTTTTCTGTTGTCTTCAAAGGAATAACAATTTAATGAAGTTCTTAGTTTAGCTGCAACTGCTCCTGTTAGTCAGGAAGCATATGCAGTGGGCTAATTCTTTTAGGGATCTGCTATCACTTAGCTGATGTGCATTTTTCTCTTTTTCGGATTTCATTAAGTAGAATCCTTGGTCAAAATATAAACCACAGCCATGGACCGCGAAAAGCAAAAACCCACCTTTCAAAACTGTTTCATAATCATGAAAATTGAGTGACTCAAAGTTACAGGCCCTGATGCAACTTGAAGCTCGGTATTCAACTATAAAAAAAAAAAAAATCCCCTGAGGTGTATTGTGTGTGTGTGTGTGTGTGTGTGTGTGTGTGTGTTAAGGCCTGAAACTGGAGCCTTGATTGAAACCAGAATCTACCAAGAGGGAAGAAAGAAAAGTTGAGTCGTGGCTCACCCTTAGCAAAAGTTTCTTAGGGAACGTGAAGAAAACTATTTTAAGTGTCAGAAGGACCTCATCGCAGCATCCTTCCAACACTTCATATGGAGAAACTCAGTACCACCGTGTAATTAATCGCCAAAATCCTAAATTCAGCCTTCTGCTTTTCCCTTGCCAAGGAAGATTCCCCGGCAACTGACTGTTCCCCTTCAGATACTTGGAACTGCCTGTGTTCCTTCTAAATCCAGCCAGGCAGAGGGGCTAGCTGATATCCCACCGTAAGGAGGAGTTATTTCCTGAAGTTTCTTCAGCATCGAATTTAATTACAGACTTTGGTTACATAAAACAACTACTAATAATCCCTTGTACTGGGAAGAGGAGGGGGCGAACTGGGCGACCGGGTTCGGAACCCTGGCGGGTGTCTGGGCCCCAAGTTCCCGGGGCGCACATCTCCCTCTCCGGGGGAAGAGAGGATGAAGGATCCTGAGGTCGCCCCCCCCCCCCCCGGCCGCCCCGCGCCCCAGGAGCTCAGACCCTGCGAGCGCCCAGAGCGGCCAGGGCGGGCCCTGAACTTGGCAAAAGGCCGAGGTCCGCGCCGAGGCTCGGGGGTCTCGGGGGATGGGGGCAAAGAGCCGACCCCAAGTGCAAACTAAGAACGACCCTTCCGGCTTAAAACCCCGCCGGGGCTCGAACCCCTCCGGCCTTCAGAAGGGAGAGAGGTCGCCGAAATGCAGTTCGGGGTCTGACTCGGGAAAGTGGGAAGGGGGCGTGCAGGGGAGATGCCGGGGGATAAAGGGACGCGGGACGCGCCGTTACCTGAGCAGAGACATAGTAATCCAAAGAGGTAAAAGTGAGCAGGCTCCGCGATCATTGTCCTCGGGTGGGTCCTGCGTACAGTCTCATGCCAAGAGGAGGGAGCAGAGATGGGGTCCCCGAGTTTAGGAAGCCACACGCCGCACACACCGCACACAAAGGCTTAATATAAGCAACGTGGGTCAATCCGCCAAGAGTTTTCAGGGCGATTGCTGGTCGGCCTTTCCGGACGCTTGTCAGCGCCTCCGAGCCCTTCGCAGACCAGGAATTCCGGGGTGGCGCTCCGGGGCTCGGGGCTCCGGGGCTCCGGGGCTCGGGGCTCCGGGGCTCGGGGCTCCGGGGCTCGGGGCTCCGGGCTCGGCCACTTCCAGGAGCCGCGCAGGGCGCACAACAAAGGGCCGAGCGGACGAGCAGCCGCGCGGCTTCCTGCCCGCGGGCCCCGCCGAGCCTCCCGGCGCGCGCCCCACGGCGAGCCCGAGCGCCGCGGCGAGGGCAGGCGCGGCGAGGGCAGGCGCGGCGGCGGCGAGCTTGGGGCGTGAGGCCCGAGTCGGGAGCGCCCGAGCGCGGCTCCGGCTACGGTCCGGCGCGGTCCGCGGCTGGCCCCCGGCGGCGGCGAGGGAGGCGGCCGAGGGGCGCCGGCGGCTCGGGGGCTGGGGGTGCGCCTGGGCGCCTGGGCGCGCGGCGGCCGGACGAGCGGGTGCGGCGACGGCGGTGGCCCGGGCCGGCCCCTGCTCCCATCACCGGCGGGACGCGGAGGGCACGGGGGCCAGCGGCCGCTGCGCGGGCAGACGCGCGCCCCCCCGGGGCCCCCAGCGCCGCGCGGCGCTCACCATCGCCCCGGGTCCCTCGCCCGGGCGCCCCGGAGTCTCGGCGGCCGGGACGGCGCCGCGCGAACTTCCGAGGGCGGCCCCGACAGCGCGGGGCGGAGCGGGCGGAGCGGGCGGAGGAGGCTGCTGCGGGGGCGCGGGGCGCGGGGCGCGGGGCGCGGGGAGCGGGGGAGCGCCGACCGCCCGGCTCGCCCGCCCGAGCTCCGCCGAGCAGCCCCGACCTGCGGGCTCTCACGCCGCCGCTCCTCGGGCTCGCGGGCCTGCGGGTCCCCACCGCCCCCGCCGCTCCCGGGGGCCTGCCCCTCCTCGCCGGCCCGCGAACACTTAAAGGGGCCGCGCAGCCCTCTCCGCGCTCCGCTCCAGGCCCCCACGCCCGTCCCGCGGTGCCGCTCGCGGCCGTTGCCCTGCCCGAGCCGCGGCGCCCGACTGCGCCCGCAGCTGAGGACGCGCGTGCTCGCGACCCGAAATCCAAACCGTGGGACCTCGCCTGGTTCCTCCCGCCGCCCCCCCCCCGGCCCCCCTGCACCTTTCTCCAAATGGAACCTCCCAGCCAAAGACTTCAAAACCCTCCTGGTCCTCTTTAACCTCTTCCTTACCACTTCCCGACTTGGAAGAAACTCTCCTGGAACTCCACCCTGCGCTAGTCCACATTCCCATTCTTGTCTTTGATCAAATGCGGGCAAAGAAGCCTGTGGGACAGGAGGTAGAGTGATGACTACCTCGACTATAGTAACTATTACACTCTATTGCAAAACAAAAATCACTTCAGTTGCAGTTGTTGGCAGTCATGTAGACCGTCTATCCAAGGCCTATCCAACTGGAAGGGCACAGGAGGGAGCCAGGGGGTCTTTTCTTTGTTTCACCAAGAGCCGCTCCTTCACCTCCTAGAGTGTTAACAATGGGGAAGTAATTCTGAAACAGGGACAAATGCAATAAAAAAAAAAAAAAAAATGAAAAGAAAAAAAAAATCCTTGACCATCACCAAGTTTGCGGTTTTAAGGGAAGCCATTCAGCATTGTCTAAACCAGCGAGTCTACACCCCCATATACCCTCCCTGAAACCCCAACCCACCAGTTACTATTTCTGTTATCATGCCAAATCTCAGTTATCTCTACTCAAAAATAGAGACGCTTGAGATATTAACAAATTTTAACAAATCATACCCAAACCAAACTAAACCTGGCATATATCTGAGGAGCAATCTTGCGCTCATTCACTTTTTTTTTCTATTAAGTAAAACACTGTATGCAAAACACCTGAGACATGGTGTGTGCCCAATAAATGGTAAATGTTGGTATTTAGAACTGTTCTTTCAAGTGAATCACTACCTATAAAATTATGTACAATAATTTCAGACTTTGGTATCTATCCGAATATACCAGACCTGCTTTCAGTGGTGATCTCTGGAAAGGAGAACTGCATGCTAGATGGGGGGGGGGGGGGGGGTAAGGAATGGGGATGGATTGGCTCTTTATGCTGTTGTACTTCTCTTTTTTTTTTTTTTTTTTTTGAGCACAAGCATTACCTAATGAAAGATAATCTTTTAAAAGCAAATTATGCATTCATTATACATTCATTTTGGTTGTTGCTCCTACAACCAATGACCATGGAGCAGCATTTTGAAGAAAGAAACTCTGGTTAATAGCACCTATCTCTGAAAGTGAAAGATAGTTTAATCCTGGGAAAGCTAACTGCAAATTCAGTAAACAGGCTGGAGATAAGAATTCAAAGACTCCAACCAAAATCTGTCCAGCAGTAAAAACAAGAATGTGCCATAACTGCTGGAAAACATACATTGATTTGGTCTTTGTGAAAGGACATTTAGTGAGAAAGGTAGAATACATCTTTTTTTTTCCCTTGGGATAAAACATGCTTGTAAGATAAGCTTACCCACTAACAGAAAATAAAAAAAGGTAGAGCATGGTACTTGAGAAAGAGAGAGGAAAAAAATCCTCCAAATATTTTAAATAAAGATTTTGGGGAGAATCCCTGGGTGGTTCAGCAGTTTAGCGCCTACCGTTGGCCCAGGGTGCCGTCCTGGAGTCCCAGGATCAAGTCCCACATCTGGCTCCCTGCATGGAGCCTGCTTCTCCCTCTGCCTGGGTCTCTGCCTCTCTCCCTGTCTCTCATGAATGAATAAATAAAATATTTTTTAAAAAAATAAAGATTTTTAACAACCACTTAGTAAGAAGTGTGTACTTTTAAATATAAACCAGAATAGGTAAGAGAATCCCTAGTTCATTGTTTTCCAAAGTGGATCTTCTGGTCTCTGGAAATTTGCTAAAATTTCTCGAGATTTCCTTCATTGATCTCATTATCATTGAGTGGAAACCATATGAATACTCCTTTCAATCCAATCCTTTTATTTTTCACCCTCAGTTGGCAACAACCCCCTCCCCCCATCTCCTCTATCTTACCCTTAGAGATTATATTACCTAGGAGTCAGCAATAGGAATCCTCAAGGAGTTAACTTTTGAGGAGTCCCTGATGAGGACTATTATCACGAACACATATCCTGGCCCTTTCTTCTTCCTCTGTCTCTTGCAAAGTGTACTTTTCTGTCAATTGTATCAGTAAAAGTGGCATCCAAGACAAGAATTTGTATTCAGAAGATATTAGGGATATATTAAGAAGTGGAACTCAATGTACCTGAGAACTTTTGCAACTCCTTTCTTCCACTCACTTACTTACTCTTACTTGTGCAAAGAAACACTGGATAAATGTCATCTATGTGCAGGAACCAGTAAAGGGCCCTATATTGGCACGATTCAAGTAGAAACTCAGTCACCCGGCCCTCAGAGCTCTACAAGCTCCAGAGTAGAACCTATCAGAAGAAGTAGAGACAACATGTCATTAGGGTTAAAAGATAGTTCAGAGATGGGTGAATCATAGCAACCAGTCACCTCTCCACTGCTACTCCTGGAGAATAAATTACTATTAGAGATCATAAAATGTTCAATGTGTCTGTATGACTATGTGTGCAAGTGTGAGTGACACATGGATACAATGTCTACCTGGGTCAGTCTGTAGGCAACTCTGACACATAATAGAACTCTGACAAATAGCAAGGTAAGGAGAAAATGTCTTAATTTTCACTCAGAAACTATTCTGATCACCATGATCTGAATGAGTCACAAATTCTAAGTTTCCGTTTACAAAATTCTGATCTCATTTGGAGCTTGTGAAATTCAGGATCCCTAAAAAGTCTCCCCGAGAATTTTGAGGAAACCCAAAAATAACATACTCCAATAGTTATGTGAATGGGGCTTCTTGGACAGTAAAGACTCTAGAGCTGTGTTAATCTCTGAGGCTGGTCTGATCTGATTTTATCTTTTATGGGGGTAGTCGCAGGAACTCAGGAAATAACAAAATTCCCAGGCTCCCTCCTGGGATTCCAGATATCACTTACCCAGATCAATGGGAGCAGGCTAGAGTTCCTAAGGAAACTACAAACCAGAACATTGCTCTCTCTTCGCCTCTTAGGAAGAAGCCTTAGAATCAGACCGCGCCAGAGTCCGGGATACTGTTGGAAGTTCCAGGAGATCTGGTCAGAGGCAGCATAATACAAACCATACACACTACAGCTGTGCTGCATATTCCAAGAGACTATCTCTCAGGGTCCAACAGCTGGCTTAGCAATTTTCACATGAAACTGCTGAATAATCTGTGAAATCTTTAATATCTAAGTTAATGAACTAGGTTGAATATTTGAATACTTTAATATTTGAATAGTTTTTTCTAAGTTTGGATATATAAGAGAAGTTTCATGCAGGAGTGGTGGGTGGTTCAGTCAGTTAAGCAAGGGGCTCTTGATTTCAGCTCAGGTCTTGATCTCAAGGTCATGAGTTCAAACCCAGCGTTGGGCTTCACCCTGGGTGTGGAGCATACTTAAAAGAGAGAGAGAGATCCCATTCAATAAAGTAACCTAAAGTAACTCTAATAAAGGGAGAACAAACACATCTGTTGGAAACATCTACAGTTTTGGGAAGCCGTGTCTCCTTAGTAAACATTGCTCAGTCTGTGCCATGTTACTCAGGTAACAATATCTCTAATCCTCTATTCCTAACAATTAAGAACATCAGCTTTCCTCACTAAACAGCATATGGTTGTTACTTTGGGGGAAACTTATTTTTTTTTGTTTAATTGAGCAATAGAGTATTGCGTACTGATTCTAGCTGCCATATGTGATAGCAACAAGTCACACGTAATAAATCACATATAGCGGGGTATAGATTTAACATGCAATGGCAATTCAAGGAAGAGAGAGATAATTTTGGATTAGAGCAGTAAAAAAAAAAAATGAAAGAATGGTAGGTAGGATTTCAAAATATGCCTTAGCTTTTTTCATGAAAGAAGAAAGTTTACCATGATGCTTTCTCTTAAGAGTACATAGGACACATTTTAACAGCATTCCTTTTGTTTGTTTGCTTCTCTGCCTTTTAGAATGTGTGATATTGCCCTCCCACCCCCACCCCCACCCTCGCACTGGGAACCATAGGGAGAGGAGAGAGACTTCCTGTGTTATCTGTCTTCACTTACTTAAAGACTTACTGTGATGTTACCTGGGCCAGTTTCTTCACTACACGAAAGAGTGGGATAGGCCTCCGTGAGTCTGTCTCTAAAGCTCATTAAAACGTATCAACTATGATGCACTCAAGCTTCTGTAGAATTGCGGTCAGTGTGCTTCCTTTTAGCAAGCATCTCAGCATCCTGGGGACATTGTGAATGTTCTAAGCCTAGGGGCTATATTGCTAAATCCTTTCCGTAGGACCTGGGACCTTAACTATTAGCAACATAGGTCTCACTAGAATTTACTCCTCTGATATTAGCAATTTGTTTTTGAAGATGAAGGAGGGGACACTGGGATTGATTGAGGGCAATATTTTGGACCCTTTAGATACTGCTTTGACCAAATTCTCACCATGATTATGTTAGGTGGTGTTATTATCCCAACTTAGGGATCAGGTTGAGACAGTAAATCATTAACTGAAGGTTCAGGGGTGCGGAGGTCATGGATCTTATATTTAAACTCAGCTTGTTTTGAACCAAAGCACGTGGGAGGGGGCATTTTGGGGAGGGTGCAGTTTCATGGAAGGATAGGCCTGGGAGACTTTGAAGTCAACATTTGGAAGGATTTCCCAAAGCCTCTAATATGCAAATGAGCTTGTGAGTCCCCAAGGGAAGAGCATCTGGAGAAGCCCTGGCTTTTTAGTAAACCTTGCCCCTCCACACCACACAGCTACTATAGTAGTATCTCCAATGCTCCCTGACTAGATTGCATATGTTACTTATGTGGGGGGGAATTTATTTATCTTGAAATGAGCAACGCAGTATTCCTTACTGAGAAAGGCTGTAAACTGAAATGACTGCACTTCCAGGCCACACTTCAAAGAGCAGCCAGAGGGATCCTGTTGAAACCTGAGTCCACCTTGTCTCTGCTCTGCTTCGAAGCCTCCAGTGGTCTCCCTCCCACATAGAGTGGAAGCTCACTCTTCCCCAACAGCATCTCCTTACCCCATTGACTTGCCAGTGCTTGTTCTGCTCCCATGCAGGGGCCTTTGTGCCATTCTGGAGTGTTAGCAGG